TAAACCTTCACTGGACTTCTATGAACATTTTAAGACTAAAATTAGCGAAAGCGGTTCAGCCGTTCTCAATTTTTACCGAGACTAACGAACGGAAAATCATTTTTATTTATATAGATAGATTAGTTTTTTTAATGGGGGGTAAGTCATAGAATTACTTCTTCCACCTGGGTGAGGCGGGCGGGAGTGTCAGACTCGTGCAGACTAAAACCTAAAAACCACCCTGTTCCTACTCCTGTCCTTCGAACCGGAGCCCCGGTAACCTTTTACGTTCTTCGCCTCTTCGTAACGCGGTATATTGGGCGCCATCCGTGGTGGTCTGATGGCTCTTTGACGTACGTACGCTCGGCTTATGGGTAAAAGATGCATTTACTGGGTAATACAATATTAATATCTGGTATTTTAACCGCACCAGCAGTCTTCTATAATTTCTATAATAACTCATACCTAACGCACAAACCTATAAAAACATGAAGTTAATACAGTAGTAAACGAAGTACGGTATATGAAACTATGTCAAACATTGTGTATATTGTACAAACAGCGTTTATTTCAGTTGTAAACTTCCACAAACATATTATGAAACTATCCGTAAAATGCTGCAGATGGCACTGCACCGTGCACCGTCAGATGTTTCATATCATAAAGTTTGAGGTTCACATCGCATCGCTGTCAAATACCAAACTATCTTGTGATACAACAGCAACATTTAAATAATCTTTGTTCTGGTTAATCAACTTTACCAAAACTACAGAGCTATATCAGGAAAATTGTAGGTAGGTCCTATTTTCTTCTATTAAAAAAAATACTATTTTTTAATATCAAGGTATATTAATCCTTAATACCAACATATTTAGTTCTAATCTTCGAAAAAAAGTGCGGTTGACAAAATGTTATTGAAGTTCCTAATAGAGAACGGTTTTCGATTTCATTTTATGTGATGTCCCATCACATATTAGCTGATAGTGTGCGATATGACATAAAATAAGTTAAAAAAGAAGATTTGCCAGTTATTTGTAAGGCGATGAAATTGCACAATTTCTTTATTTCGGTTCGATTGTGATGAGCGACCAAAAGTTCACTTTTTACGTATATTCCAGTGCATTTGTTGCCGTCTAAAGAAAAAGCCCAGCTCTTATTTATAGCCGTATATTTCGCCTTCACTGCTCCCTTTTCATATAAACTTTCATTCTTTACAAAAATAGGGGTAGATTCTACAAAAAAGGACAACTAGAATTTATTTTAAAAGTTTATTAAATTATCTAACTTTACAATGGCTACAGTTTCTTTGACAACAAATAACACAGCAGTTGTTGGTAGCTTAAGCTGAATTTCTTTTGGAGTATTGTCAAGGGATTTTTTAGCATTGGCTCGGGATAACTACTTACAGATCAATAAATTATTTATTTTTGTCTACTGACTATTGATTTCGAACTAACAGTAGGTATTATGTTGTGTAATATTGCTATTGTGCCAGTAATACAGTCAAATATCAAAGTTTAAAAAAAGAACATAGATTTAGCCTAAACAGCGCAATGTTGCACAGATTTATTCGTGAATGTGTGACCGATGGGTGACGCTCCTTCTTAAGTGTCGACGAACTTCACAAACGCTCGGTCGTCCGTAAAGTTTTTCAATAGAAATGTTTGTTAGACATCAGACGGAGCCCACACTAAATCGCTAGTGTACACTCGACATTTGAACTATTTTACAAATAACTCTTAAGGCTAGGGTTTCTCAACAGAAGACAGAATGCTTGAACGCGTTCTTCGACTAGTGTTTTTGAAATGTAGAGACATCAGTCTTTGTGAGATTGTATTATTTTACTTGAAAGCCCTTGTAGTTTTAGGATGTCTTCAACGAAACAAATGCATTTATTTTTATATCTCAGACACATTTCTTCAAGGAGATTGTGACGGAGATTATATTTTGCTACGAGTTCAAAATGGCTAGCTACAGCTAGGTACTTAGTTATTTTTTTCTGAGATTTGATGCTAAATCTGTAAAACTAAGCGATATATCACAAGCCAAAAAATACAAATAACACGTTCAAGTAAAAACATATGGTACAGGAAATATTGAAAAGTTTTAAGGAAACTTTAATTAATATAACAGATTGCCAGCAGCTGGAAATTGTGTAATGAAGGCAAAAGTAATTAGTCAGTCTAAAGTATTAGTATTGAAATACAATTTAGACAAGTTAGAAACAGTAAGAACTTTATATAGAAAATACTTAGTTGTAATGGTTGGCGAGAGCAGAAAGTTCAAAATAAGTCGTCCGTTCAATAGTGTCGCCTTCTACATGAGAAATTGAATTGCATAAAATTTACTTATTCATTGAATTCCCGTCCTAACTCTACTCAGATGAAAGCGCTGACAATGGCATGAGAGTATATTTTGCTTTACAACAGTATTTCTTAGAAAACATTTGAAATTATGTCCATTCGTTGTGTTGCTATTTTTGATCAACATTTTCGCTTTTGAAAATTAAATGTCCTCAAAATGTGTTGTGTACTTATAAAGACTTTAGCTCATAAACAAATCGATACCTTTGGGTAGAAAGGTCGTATAAACCATTTTGGCCAAATTGAGTTATATATACCATTTTTCTCAGAATTTTTTTCTCTATCGATCTGTATATACGACATGCCGAAATTCGCACAAAAATGGTTAATACGACCCAGAAATTTTCGGTCATGGCCTTTTAAAAAAAGGAAATTTTCAATGTAAGAGCCAAATGTTTTTCTTTTGTAGTTTTATTGTGATGTAATGACCATAATTTATATTAACTCAGGGCGTAAAATATTCGTCAATTGTAAATGGTTTATACACCCTAACGTGTTAATGCATTACCTAAACATAATTTAAATTATACTTAGTAAGTAAGCCTTAGTACAAAGGCTTAATTCAATAGTTTATTGAATTATGTACATTTAAATTATGTACAAAAAATGATCCAGTCATAATTCTACAAACGATTAAATGCCTTATTACATCAATATCGACGAAGTTTGAATAATTTTAGTTTTTTTTTTTGTGACTAAGTAATTTTTTGTTAATGTCACTTTTAAGTTGTTATAATTATTTTTCAATTTAAAAATTTTATATTGATTAGAAGGTGTTATAATACTTAATAAATGTTGATTTCGTATTTCAGGTAGTTTTATTTTATTTTTAAATCGACCAATTGGGTAGTTTCCTCAGTCAAAAATAAATTATTTCGACTTTTCCGTACAATAAAATATTCGAAAATAATCATACTTTCAGTCATAGATTTGACGATATATTTAATTTTCGAATTTATCTAGCTAATTTTTTGAAATAAGTATACTATTTGACGCAAAAATTGCGATCTCCATACAAAATTCATAGAAAAGTATCGTTTTTGACATTTCGATAAAAGTATTGAATTTGACTAGTTGGAAACTACCGGATTATTGAGTATTTTTATTTATTAATTGAGTTCCTACTAACTCTGAGAGTAACAAGATTGTTTATTAGTCAGAATTTAATTGAACAATGAATATAAATGGTTTTTAATACAAATAAAACTACATATGTTGGTTTTTACGACAATCAATGTGACCACAAGCTTATCGTAAATAGATATACGACCTATACAGTTTTTTTAAATTACATTTTCATGGGGTGTATTAACCATGAATTGGTTTTTACAGAGACGTAAATCCATGCTAACTTTAAAACTAAAGAAGATAGATAGGTTTTGATGATTTAAACGGTTTCATTTGCAAATTGTAAGAACTTTTCTCATAGATTATTTTTTTATAACTTTAAAAACAAAAAAGATATGAATTTTATTGTCAAAAAAAAATCGTTTTTTTGCTCTCCTGAAAAGTCGGGTTTTGGTTTATACGACTTTTCTACCCAAAGGTATCGAAATAATTCTCTGGAGCGATAAATTATTTAAGTAAACGGACTATTTAAATAATAAAAGGTCCTTTTGCAGCGATAATTCCATTTAACTAACGCGTCAACTTTCATATAAAGTTTAATCATTGTCGTGGCAGTGACTAGGGGTGTCACCTCTTTATCGCGTTTATTGCAAAGAAGAATCACATTTAATGTAACATTACGATACAATAAATAAATAATACCTACATTTATTACCTACTTTTTCTGAGAACACAAGCTCAGGAAAGTTTCTGTCACTTGTATTGGAATAACGACTGACACATAGCAGACATTCTGAGTGCCAAAAGCATTTATTACAGTGACTGACACCTAATTAACATATCACTTTACTTTTAAAAATAAAGAAACAAGAGAAACTTGGTCCGAAATAAATCACGAGATGGATAATTCATGAGCTCGGACATTTTTTGTTCAAACTTCATGTATAAAGCAGATGAACAGCAATAACATTATGTCAAATTATTTAAACTGTCGGTTAACACATATAAAGGTGTGTTCATAAATATTTTTGACATAAATCTGGTATTGTGGGAGCCAGCCCTGAGGAGGCACGCGTCCCTACATGGCAGACGGAATGCCTGCACGCGAATCTTTACGACGTTGGATAACAATAAACATCACGAGGTTTTTGTGACCGACCGCTACTTGGTAAGCAAAAACGAGCTGTACACAGCTGAAGGACTGAAGTTTACTATTCTATTTATAGATAAAATTGTCATCGTTGATGTACGAAAGAATTTGGTTTAAGACTGAAGAAAAAGTATTGCATAAAATATATTCTTAGACCATTCTGACAATGTTCTGTGGTGACAACAAACAGGGAAAATCATTTATATTGTAATCTGCTGAAATTATACAATGATAATTTATGATCTAATAACAAAATACATAATTGGATGAGTAAATGGCGCCTCATCGGTGCAGTTATGAACCGCTTTGTGTTTTGACTTTAGTTGTGTAGTTTCTGCCACAAACCAAAAGCTATCCAGAGATCTTAATCATAACATAACATCATCATACATAATAATAAAAAAAGGAATGGATAATAATTTAACTATTATGTCTTTCAGGATGTCTGGGGGCTCTGTCAGCGGGAGTGGCGCTTGCGCTGTCGCCGGTGACGGTGGCGCTGTGCGTGCGCAAGTCTACGCGAGTAACGGCTGTAGTGGGCGGCCTCGTAGCCGCCCTCGGCTGCCTCTTTACCTCGTTTGCTACGCAGTTCCACCAGCTCTTCTTCAGTTATGGTAAGGACTGTTAATTCTCTAACTTGGTCTGGACAAAATCGTAATCTATTTTGTACTGTTCACCATAACGCTCTCATTTAAGAACTTCTGTTCTTTCTAGCAACTTCTAGCAATCTTCATTAAATGATTAGACATGTGCAACACGCTTTGTTTAAATCAAATTAGTTAGTAGAGCATCCAGGATCTAGGTTACGAGACTCATACCGAATAATATTAATGAGGCACCTAATAATATCGACTAAAATGTCATAAGGAATCCGGCCAGGACGTTCGCATACACTTGCATTAACACAGAATAAATAATTGGAACGTTAATGCACCTGAAACCGCAGCGCGTAATTCTGACAACTCAATTTATTTCATCAGATTCATATCCGAAACCCGTTTAAGTCAACTTCAAAGGTATCCGCTAATTGGGTCTCTGTGTAAATAAGCGGATATCTACATACTCACTCGCACCGAAATAGAATCCGTAATATTTATTGAAATGAGTTATTTATTGCTTAGGTACCTACCCACCTACCTACTTACATTATTTACTTTTATTTTCAAATACAGTAACAAATCACAGATTCTGAAAAATAACTTTGTTTTTATCCGATAGCTATAAATTGTTATTAGGTACTACGACTCTTAGAATTTAAAGTAGGATTTTCTATGTAGTAAATAATTCTAAGGAATAATTCAACGAAACGAACGCAGCTTTTGCGGATTGGCTGGTGGGCTATTACCGAATAAGCCACAAATCGTATCAAACGGTGGCATTTTATTGAAAAGCATACGTAACAGCAACGCTGATTCTCCTGAAAATAATTAAATATTTAACTGTATTTTAGAGTCCTTACGAAGCTATAAATTTTAATGGTTATCTTGTTTTTTAACCACACATTATTTCCTCAAGTAAGTAGATAGTTCTACTACGATAGAGATAGATAGAAGTAGAGCTAGATAGATAGATAGATAGAAATTACGGTTTTTTTTTTTGTAATCAAAAAAACATAACTTTACTCCAAATAGGTACGTATGTTTTTATGTCAGTTATTATTATAATGCTATGCAAACTCCATTGCGAGCGCACTGCGCACACGATGAGCTGGTAGGTACTATCTTCAAGGATAATGCATTGGCGCCAAACTGAACGCATTACCATTTAAATTGGGACGCTACTACCCGCTACAATGAAGTATCCTGTAGCTTCTATTCTACTAAGTTCGAGTAATCTATGCAACCACCCCAAAATCAACAATTACTTTTATTTTCTCAACCTGATGGTGGATGATTCGTTCAAGGTAAAGAAAGCAATCAAAGAGAAATACACGTACCAAGTCATTAGAGATTCTACGACAGTGAACTAATCCCTGACCAATCGAATTTAATCCGGGAACAGATAATTAGGATTTGGAACGGACAACGGACACGGTACCCCATAAAATTTTATGGTTAAAGTTCTTGTCTAGAGTTTGTGAACACTACGATTTCGATCATAAAATTCAATATTTCAACAGAATAGCTTTCAAATAATGTTTAAAGTTAGACTTAAGCTGTGTTTCTCGCTATCTTCAGGGAAATCAGGCTCTTAGGTACATAGGAAATACTGATTGCGTATCTTGGCTCCAACTTGCGCAGTCAGATATGAGGAAAACTTGCACAAGTAGGAGCTACACGACTAACGATAGTTTGTATTATAGAGGATAATTTCCCCCTTTACATGCTTACTATCTCAATATCAGTATATTGCAGCGCAAAACAGACTTTCGATTGGTATTGCAACGGCCACTACAAATGCAACGAGCTATGAATGTGCGAGCAATGATGGGCGAATAACGATAGCACTTCACGCCAACTGTAACACGTATAATAACGTTAAAACACAACAACTGTTATTACAATGGAACAGCACCATTAAAAATAGTCAATGTCTACAATTCATTTGAATTGTTTCCGTAGATACAATTTGTTTGCTATTGCTCTTAATAGGTACTTAGGTACTATTGATTCATTTTATTGTTCAAACTAAAGGGTCTTATTCACCATGAAATTAGAGATTTAAACTACTTACCAGTATTGCATCGATGCCTAGATCAATGAGTCATCTGCATACGACAGTATTCATTCACACTTACTAAACTACGTAATTGACATGTACCAAAATAACGTTTCATCGAACTCAGAATCTATATAGTTAAAAGCCCATATTTCAAATAACCAACATTATTATTTATAAGAAATATGAAAAGCACAAATAAATAAGATTTATCGGTTTATATTCAAGTAGAGCGGGGGAAAGAATTTCATGAGAAGAAAATAGACGGCATCGTCTATACCGCAATCTGATGCAGCTATATCTGAACAAAGTCGCTAGCTGAATAAATATGATTGCAATGTCTAATATTATTGAACAGTTTGAAAACACCACTAAACGTCGCAATGTTGCCATTGCTCACGACTTCGTGTTTACTCGTATTTCGACCGATTGCATTTTGTTTGTTTCTACGACTTTTAAGTTATTTTGGAAGGTACTTACCTACTGGTACATTAGATTTGGTTACCTATAGGTACCATATGAGAGTTTGATTTTAAATTGTGATTAGGTAATAATCATTATTTTGTAAATACATCAGGTTATAAATTTCATATCTATATAATAGTATCTATATAATCTATATAATTTATAACTATTATATTCTACTATCGTGAGACATACTAAATTAACTAAAATCGCGGGCTACTCACGTGAATATACTCAGAAAAGCTCTACTAGTTTCGAACCACAGAGGCTACTAGTTTCGGTCGCGGTGACAGTGAGCTGCGCGACATCGCCGCGACCGCGCACGCTGCTCATGAGGAAGAACCCCTGTGGTTCGAAACTAGTAGTTTTTCTCAGTATACTCACGTGAGTAACCCGCGATTTTAGGTAAATTTCATATCCTCCACCTCGTGGCAGACTTTTCATGTATGTTCTTAGTTATCTACAATCGCATTCGTTTTTCATAAACTTTTCATAGTCGCGTGTAGGCCCGTAGCAAAAGCATAGGCGTAATACCAATTTGGAGTAAATTTAAATCTGCTTATTTGTTTGTAATTCAATTTTATTTTAATTTTAGATAGGTCGGTACATATTTTACCGTCTTTTATTTAATTGAGACGTACTTATAACTGATTGAGAACAACTAGTTCATCTAGTTGTTATAAATAATCCCAGTGTTTGCAAACATATAATAACTTCCTGAATACACAATAATTATGATTTAACAAACATAGCAACTACATAATATACACTACCCATTAGGACTAATTGATACTGAAGTGAATAATAATGTAACCTTTACAGCTGAGCTGAAGTAAATTAAATTAAACTTCGCAATCAAATATTCAGGGTCGATTTTTCATTGCTCAGTTAAATTTTATCAGAGGAATAACTTTAAACATTTGACGATTCTTCCATACTAACAACTGATTATTGAAAATTGGCCCTTAAAGTAGCGCAGTAAGAGACATACCAATGCGGTCCGCTAGATTAATGATTTTTTTTGCGAATAAAAAAAACATGTGCGAATAGGTAGGTAGGTAGGTAAATTTCGATTACCGAGTGGCATTTTCGGGGGAAATATTTTTCTAATTCTATGTTTACCTTAACTTGTGATGAATAATTTTGGTATTAAATTTACCAACTACTTATTGCTTTTTGCTTGCTTATTTTTTAACGTTGCCCCACACTAGGAATTTCTGCCATGTCGTCGGTGCGTTTACAAATATACACATTACGTCCAGACCCGGAACAGCAATCTGTAGATCACACAAAGACTTGTTCCGTGCGGGAATCGAACCCTCGACGCGTTAAGCGGCAGCCAGTTGCCCAGCCACCGCACCAACCGTGCAGTCGAGTTTTTATAAGGCTATGCTTTAAAATAGGGCTTTAAAATAACTAGCAAAAGTTAATTAATTTAGTTCCTGTCTACATCTGACGGGGCTAGACTTGCTAGTCTTTATGACTTTAATAGCATATCACCTGGTGATCAAACTGCCCTTTTGCCCACTATTGCATCAAAAATCTCTTAATTTAAATGGGAAACGTTACGTTTATGAAAACACCTATCAAAGTTATCTTAACTACAAAAGTTAAACAATTCTGTGTACTTTTCCACAGGGACGGTAGTAGGTGTGGGCGTGGGCCTGACGAGGGACTGCTCAACCCTGATGGTGGCGCAATACTTCAAACGAAGAAGAGAGCTCGTCGAGATATTTATCGTCAGCGGCAGCGGACTCGGCATCGCCGTTATGTCCACATTCATCAAAGGTGCCATAAGGTAAATAATAATAACACTTTCTTAGAACAGTGTCCAGTGACATCGGAAATGAAGTTCCTCCTCAGTTATTAAGGTGTTGCAGGAACTTATCTATTTTTCATAAGTTGCATAAATGACCAATACCTAATTTTCCACTGACGGCATTTAAAAAATTAATGAACTGGATATGGAACTCATTTGATATTAGATAAATAAATATTCGATCTATCTCAGCAGCACCTAAATAATTTGTAAATATTGGCTTCCTTCTTGTACCCAATTAGTTCCTGGGTAAGGTATACGGTAATAATTAATTTAAAAAAAAACCGTTATGTAGATACTGTTTTAAATTTTCAGAGCAATAGGCTGGCGTCTAGGACTGCAGGCTGTGACGGGAGTAGTGTTCGCAACGTTCATTCTGGGCACGTTCTACCGATCAGCATCTCTATACCATCCTCAGAGAAGAGCGATATTGCACCTTAAGAATCAAAACAAGATCAAACGGAAGATGAAAGACAGGAACAAAAGTGATGATCGTCAACCATTCTTCGACTTCTCCACGCTAAAGTCGAAAACAGTGAGAATCCTTCTCATGTCAACTGGAATATCAGCGTTTGGTATAAATACACCGATATTCTATTTGGCATACCATGCTGAAGAAGAAGGTAATTTATTTTATCGATTGCTCTAATTTTGATACGATATTGTTTTCTGCTTACAAACTGTACTTACTTTTCTTAAGGGAACACAGATCATACTTTGATAACTAATAATTATGAGATCAAGGAACTTATGACATAATTATAGAACATTACTCTCAAAGGAAACCTATTAACACGCATTTTTATTTTTCCAGGTTTAGGAGACACCGTGGAACTCTTGCAAGCGTACCTTGGCCTAGCCTGGGCAGTGGGTTGTGCAGCGTTTGGGTTGCTAGTGCGTCAGAATAATGCTGAATGCCGGATAGCTCGACAGTACCTCACCCAAGCAGCTGTGTTCGTGTGTGGACTTGCAACCATGGCGCTCACAGCTGTTGAGGGCTCCTATCGAGGCTACGTCATGTTTGCTTGGGTTTACGGTAACTATTTAACTTATTTAACATGAACATCTACATAGACAAAATAGTGGTAGTTTGTAAAAGTCAATAGGTACGTAGAAGGTATCGCGAGTTGTCTTAAAAGTTTACAAGGTTTCGTTTTTAGATAAAAGACATCATTATGAAGCCCATCTGTATCTAAGTACTGCTACTTAGATATAAGAGAGGCAAATATATTTACTCACTCAATATTGTTATTTTCAGGCATATTCTGCGGAGGCTACCATTATTCGCTGAAAATGTATACGTACGAGCGAGTGCGGTCTCGTAACTTTGCACGGACGTGGGGCTTCGTGCAGTGCTCACAGGCCGTGCCCATAGCAATAGGGGTGCCGCTGTCAGGTAACTACGTGTTGCCATAAACCGAAAACAGGATTCAGATCAATGTTACTAGAGACGATTTCCCAGAACCTAAACTTTACTCAATATTTCGATACATTTCGATAGATAGTCCATATACTTACTACATGCGAGTAATTAATATAAGAGATGCTAAATAATTTTTAATTTGTACAGGGTACATAAACGTGGGTTGTGGCGGTAAAGCGGGCTACTACTTCAGCTCGACGTGTTCCCTCATCGGTTCCCTGTCTCTCTTCTGTATTGATCTTCATAGGCGCAGTGTAGCGCACAAACACACCAAGTAAGTATAATTACTATATATAATATAATATAAATAATTACTAAAACAACCTTTGATAACCTCAACTTTCATGGTTGATGTATTTATTTCATTTAGCATCAAATCTAAGGCTAATCAACAGGGTAAAGTATGGTATTTTATGTGCTAAGTACTTAAGTATAGTTGTATTCTAGATACGTTCAAAGTAATTAAATACCAGATCTAATCTAATAAGTATAGACTACACGCGAGCCAATTAACAAATAGTTTATATTGATTTCAGATGAATCAAGAATTGAATTGAATTACAGTTAAAATTGAATTGAATGAAATGAATATTCATTTAAAACAAGGCCATTTTTAAGTGGCCGCGTGTTTTGAGTTTAACCTTTTGAACGCCAGAGCAAAAACGCATGAACTTGCCCTCAACGCCAGGCCACAAATTCACCGCAAATACCTACGAAAAAAATAGGGATTCCAAAACTTCATCGATAATCAATTTTATTTTCATTTTCGTCTTTAATTTCGAAATATAATATCCTTATAACATTTAAATTTAATTCAACATTACATTTCTTCCTATTAAAGTAATAGTTATACACTATTTACAGACATGTATAATACCGTAATAACAGATATGAGACTACAATATATTTAAATATAATAACTGTAGGTACAACACTATTCTTGATCTGCTGTCTTCATATTGTGACCATGGCGTGGACGGCCCGTCATTTTAATAACTACTTCGCTTCCGAAATAAGGATGTGGCAACGTAATATCTCGTTGATCGATGTTCTAGTACAATATTATTTTATAATAAATGAAACACGTTTTTTAAATCAGATTTATAATTCCGAATGTAAAAGGTACTTAAAAATATATGATTGAAATAGGTTAAGAAGGTAAATAAAAACTATGAAAAGATAGAAAATTTTAATAAAATGTTATACAGTATGTACTATGTATACATGTTTTTAAATATTAAGTTCTATAAACCTGGCATAAAAAGTAACAAATTAAAACAATTAACAAAAAGACGAATTAAAATGTGAAGTTTCACATTTACCTAATGTGGGTTTCGAAGAAGAGCCAAAGGACCCACGCAATAAGGCATTCGCAAAATTGGTCGCACATGAATTAGATAGTGTACCAGCGGAGAAGCGTCCGGTAACTTACACCAATATAATTAATATTATACGTAAAGTACGACACCAAAAAGACTTAGATGACACTAGTTTACCGAGCTACCAGGATTCCGATTAAGAAATAATAAATGATTGAAAAGGTTATAAGTTTGTCTAATTAATAAATATCCCAAAATAAATCATAAAATTCTTCGTCATCTGAGACTCCTTCTAATATGCGAAGAAGTTCTTCCGTAGTCATTAAATTCCCACTCATTATAATAGTCACTTAATATAAATCTTGAACTCGATATCACAAGTAAATTATATTAAATTACATAAATATTATTCATTCACTTCACTAATTTCTGGTCGCCGCGCTTGTGACGTCACGATATTGTCGTCTAGTCGTGACCATGGCGTACAGGGTACTGATAATTCGGGTTGCGTTAGGGATGCGCTTGAGTTGGGATTAGTGAATATCGAAATTCGACCCAACCAAATTTTATTTTTGACTATGTCGCTTATTGAATGATTTTTAAGACTGGTTTTATAAAATTAATGCTGCTTTATCCTAGTACCAAATTATACCTAAAATAATATATTCCAGAGGAAAGTTTCGAATCGATCTTTGATTTGAAATAATGATATTATCCAACATGCGCTACATCACTAGCGGTCACGCAGTTATGACTCTGGCGTGTGAGGACATTCTTTTTTCAGAGTTTATTTCTTTCTTTTTAACGTAAAATTTCTCAATATTTATAATGCAATTTAATTAGTTTTATGGAAATAAATAAACTTTGGACCTTCTATTTTACAGGTATATAAATAAATAGGCATTAAAGTAATGTTTAAATAGTTTATTTCGTGTTTTAATGTACCGCTGTTTTTGTCACATATTTGTGTCGTTGGCGCTCAGGGACAGTTTTCGCTTGTCACGTATTTGTGACCCTGGCGCTCAAAAGGTTAATAGTTATATTTATTACGAAAATACCTACTTGACCTACCTATTACCTATTTTAACTATTTCAGAGAAAACGGTGGTACTGCAAATTGTGAGTCGACGTGTGAGCCGTCGCGACGTAGCCGCAGTCGCGAACGTGAACCACGTACAGCCGCAGGCGCAGCCACCGCATTAGGTATCTAATATCTATTCTTATAATTAAAACTATCGAAAAACTACACTGTCGTCAATTTCATTGTCATTTGCTTGCTTAGTGCAAGTATAAAGTTAAGTACCTACATACTCTACTTACACACTTCAATCCGCAGTAATCGATGAGGCTTTTACCACTCGACTTGTACTTGACACGACCTATTTCCATTCAAAAAGTCGTTCCATCGTGCAATCTACAATACTCCCCAATTTCAGTTCTAGGAGCAGAATTTGTAGCACCAGGGCGTACGGGTCGCGACCTCCTACTGGACAGTATACGGCCGGGCACCCTCGGCTCTCCGCCGCCCAACGTGCCGCCCGAGCTGACCTGCATCAGCGAGGAGGGCGGTTTGGACCTCGACCTCGATCTGGATATACCAGAACACCTGCTCGAGGACTTAGACTGCGGGGGTGATTGTATCACTAGTTGTAATAAGGTACTGTGTACAGATACGTGTTAGACGTCTAGATGAAAATGAGCAACTGCCACGAATTTTACTCGATTCGCCTTTAAATGTTATTAGCGCTTGATAATTCAAAATTATTGTTCCAGGTCGAAAACTATTTAATGTTAAGTGAATACGAAAACAACCTAATAGCCGAGCTGCCGAATCTGAACGAGCGACGTGGACGCCGCTGGTCCATCGTCGTGGCCAACTCTCCGCCACAAGCCTCCACTATCCCAGAACACCCAAACTCTCCAGAAATGCACCCCGTTAACTCTAACAATAAGTGGAAGAAAAAGTGCCATAACACAAACAACAGACTGATTACAGTGATCAACGAGGCGTCACTCTGAAATGCTAGTGAAATAATATTCAGACAATAAATAGAAATAATCGGTTAGTGTACGACCTATAACCTCATTAATTTATTTGATGTGTGTGAATAAGTAGTAGCGTTTGTGTATGTTCAAAAGTAATTTATTAAATTATTATCACGATGTTGTGTTGTCGTTATTTGTATGAAATGATCTTTCTACGTGTGGATGGTGTCTATAATACATAAATAAAACCAATAGTTACAATGTAATTAAATATAATGTCATTGATATTTCATAATAATAATAATATAATAGTGAATACTGCACCAAAATACAAAGGAACACAATATAATTAGTTATTACCGCTGAGGAACCACAATATCTTCTAAGAACTGGGCGAAACAGCGCATCGCTTGCAGCAGGGCAGCGAGAAGTATTGAGAGAGACAAGCTGAGCAACTTCTGGTTCTCGGTATTAACAATCTCGTTGTTCGCAACAGGAACTAAACTTTGGCTAGATGCTACGCTAGGTATACTTGAATAATCACAATCAACGTTACGTTTTTTTGTACCGGCAACCTTCTTCTTTTTACCTTTATTAGCTTTAGACAACGTGCGAACATTGTCGACATCACATGTCAGATCTATCACAATATATTCTGAAACACTTTTATCAACATTCAGATCTTTAGGCTCCGCCGGGTGAGACCTGGCATTCTCGTCTTCAATAAAAACACTTACATGATTAACATCGGTCGAACAACTCGGAATCTCATTCCTGTGCTCAGCACAATGAGGTTCTATAGTTAGGCACTTCATTATTACTTCTTGTTTATCGTCTACAATTGAACTTAAGTTTTTACTTACGTTATCATTATTGTTTGGGCTTAAATTAAGTTTAAGAGATTCGTCGGTTTCTTCGGATGACATACCGCTGTCATTGTCTTCGAGAGCATCAACGACGTCTTGATTTTCGTTATTGTTATTATTAAGCTTCTTAATAGTATCAATATTAATCTTAGTATTACCAAAGCTGCCGTAAGACGGCGACATAGGAGTGCCGGCAGCATTTTGTTGCAGTACCGTGCCCACATCGGGCACGGCCTCGGGTCAGGAGACCTTGGCGCAAGTGATGTTACCCTTTATGACGATTGTACTTGAAGTTGATTCTTGGGCCCCAAATATGCTATCGACGTCCGACAGTGACGCATTATCCAATGTACTGCCATCGTCGAGCAGAAGCTCCGATCGTAAACCCTGAAATTAAATTGATAGACATGTACTCCTGTACAACGAAATGTTATGTTTTTCTATACACCTAGGCAGATAGTTAGTTAGATGTGAAACTTACCTCCGAAAAATATTCATATTCTTTTTCAAAAGTCAATATAAAGACACAAAATATTGCAGCTAATAGGTTGCTACATAGGGAAGTCACGATGAAACAGAAGTAAATCGCGTTGGAACCATCTGAAAGTATTATAAAAAAGTATCATCAAGCAAAATAAATTATCGATCAATATATTGATTCCTTTAATAAAGGCCATTGTGGGATACATTTACTTGATAACAAAGGATGGCATTTTATGGACTTACGGATGAATGCTTGTTGTTGACTACAATGCGGAAAATACTTACTTATTGGTAAAAACGATGTTACAGTTCCGAATATTGCCATTAAAACCAAAATAAGGAAGCTCACATTGGCAAGGCATTGCCGAAACAACGTCAATCTTTTGTCATAAAACAGAGTCGATATATAAGTCGTGAGGATGCACTGAAACAATAAAAATATTAATACTGTAGTATTATCTACTAGAAATACAAGAAAATTAATAGGAATAAAGGTGAATAAAATATTGTTAGTAGTTAATGCTTTGGCCGAGTGGTCGCAAGTGCGACTGCCAGGCAAGGGGTCTCGGGTTCGATTCCCGGGTCGGGCAAAGTATTACTGGGTTTTAAAAAAATCTCAGTAGTAGCACGGAGTCTGGAATTGTGCCTGGTATATGGCAATAGGCTCACCCCCTATTACATGGGACTCAACATAAATAGTGAAAAGTGGGTGTTACATTGTACAGTGGCATAATGTGCACCTCTGCCTACCCCTTCGGGGATAAAAGGCGTGATGTTATGTTATGTTAATGCTTTGACTGCCAATAAAAAACTGATCAAAGGAAATCCTCCGCTAACGTTGTCGGTCACCGGGGACCGCCACTGCGCTTTTAGTGTTTAGACTATTTCTAATGTACTTTCTAAAGTTTGTTAAGACATATAGTTAAAGCAAATGTCGTGAAATAGTTAAATTCGAAAGGTCGAAATTGGCAATCTGCCAATAAGTAAGCGCATTAATTAATTTGTCACGCAGTTAAGCAGTTTACAGGCTAGTGAACTAGGTACCTATAGTCAGAATTTTAATTAGATTCCAGATTTGACAATAGCTACTGTCATTTTGTGAAATAATGATACCACATATAATAGTGTAGTGATGCACACAAAAATCGATAAACAATCAGTGTGTGTGTTTTATAATAAATGTTACAGAAAATGACAGGATAGCGATAGCGATGACGGCGACAATTTATAAAATAACTTATTACCATAATACATCTATCTGTTTTATTTGTCATGTTCCTTCATGATTACATTTTTTTATTTATTTCACACACAATTATAAAAGAAACGTCTCAGATCGTTAATTAATCATCAAAACTAAATTATCGGTTCAGAAATATTTAATTTCCTGATATACTTAGTTCACGAGAGTAAAATTATAATTATTATAAACGAGAAGAATCGATCCAGAAATATTGCATTTCCATATCGAATCATTTCGCAACGTCACTATTTAACGACTTCTAACCTATCAGTGGGTGGGTAACCTATCAGTACTAATAATAGTTATTTTTTGCTTTTTAGTATTGACTTTTTGTTTGTTATTAGTTTTTGGTTTTTGAAGTCGGTTTTTTAAACGCAGTTTTTATTTTATTATTTTACCATTTTCAGTGTAAAGCTACATATACCCGTTTTGTTACTTATAATACACATAGGTGCAAAGTCCTCATCAATACAAATTAATCAAGCCCAAACTCAAGGTAGTTACTGTATAGCGTTGAGGAGTTCCTTTAACAATTACACTTCTTCATCATCAGACCCTTAATGACAGCCCCACTCTATCTAGGTGTAAAGTCCTCATCAATACAAATTAATCAAGCCCAAACACAAGGTAGTTAATATAAACCGCTGAGGAGTTCCCTCGACTGTCTGTCGACTCCATCATCAGGTCGACTCCAGACCCTTATTAAATTGTAGTGTTTAAAATTCGTAATTGAAAAACATAATAGACGCATTACTCCCTCATAGAATTTTCGAAAGTTCCCCTCGGTTTCCCTAGGATCCCATCATCAGATCCTGACTTCATGGAAATGGGACCATCTCGGGAGTATACCCTTTCAAACAAAACAAAAATTTTTGAAATCGGTCCACAAACGGCGGAGTACTGCGCGAACAAACAAAAACAAAAAAAAAAAAAAAAAAAAAAACAATCAGCCGAACATAGTACCTCCTCCTTTTTTGAAGTCGGTAAAAATAACTTATTACCATAATACATCTATCTGTTTTATTTGTCATGTTCCTTCATGATTACATTTTTTTATTTATTTCACACACAATTATAAAAGAAACGTCTCAGATCGTTAATTAATCATCAAAACTAAATTATCGGTTCAGAAATATTTAATTTCCTGATATACTTAGTTCACGAGAGTAAAATTATAATTATAATAAACGAGAAGAATCGATCCAGAAATATTGCATTTCCATATCGAATCATTTCGCAACGTCACTATTAAGTACTTGTCATAACGTTGCCACACTGAAATTGTCAAATCTGGAATTGAATCAAAATTCCGAGTATAGTAGTAGTAGTAACAGTCAGTGTATAGCTGTAATGATGCTGATATCCGTATAGTAGGTACCTACCTAATAGTGCTCCCTATTACATCGGTGAGAGGTCTCATGAGTCATGATATTGGCGAATACAAGTTTCGTAATTTCCCTTTGGTGAATAGAATGAAAAAGGGAATAAAAATAAATGTATCGTATATAAGTAGGTAGGTAATTCACTAGAGAATGTACAAGCTATCGTCGGCACATTAAAAATTTGGTAGGTGCCTACCTATAGACGATTAAGGTAGGTAACCACAAACCACAAGCGTTAAGTTTAGGCGATTACGGTCGATGTTTAGTGAAGATGTGAGTATTTCAAATAAAATACTGCCTGAGATAAAGAAACATTTCAAACTAGTGGTCCGTCTTGGATTTTATTGATAGACCTTATAGATATAGATAATAAATAACGTGAACAACAAAAGTCCAAGAGAAGTAAAAGAAACCCTAATTTGATAGGAATACATCACAACTAGGAGTATAATAAATGAAATGTTAGGGTATATTTGGGTTTAAGTAAAGGCATTCCGATGAAAACACGAGTTCATTGCGTCGTTGGTCTCGTGTACACAAACGTGACTCCTGACTAGGGGTTAGGTACTGAATTTAATCCTATGACCGACAACGTATTATGGGGTATTTGAACACGCCTAATGACTGGCTGCTATTACGTAACGAAACTATAGTGCTACATAAACAATATGTACATAGGTATACTTTTTATCATCATCATCATAGCCATCTGGCCGGGAAACATTGACTATAAGTACTGAACTAGACCTCCATCTAGAGTGGGTGGCCAACCAGTTGATCGCGATCGACCGGTCGATCGCGGCTATAAATCCAGACGATCCTGGCAATTAAAAAAAAATTAATACGCACCTACATAGAACACATTGCACAATGATATTACCAACTGCAATAATATTACCAAAAACAATTTGTAGTTTTATATTTTCCCTCATAATAAAATAAAAGTACTACATAATTGTGTACGAATTATGCTGTTTCATTTCAGATTTTAAGTAATAATGTAATTGGTAGATCGTACTAGGGGTCGTCAGGGAAAAATCGATCTTGGGTCTAAACAAGTTGGCCATCTCTGATCTAGAGGAATTTATAGGTACTCCCCACGCTTAGCAATCGTAGGCCTGAGTACCTACAAGTTTGTTTTACGTTTAAACTTATCAAAACGAGACCGCTTTCTGCGTTATAATTGGTTGGTTCATTGGAGCCGGCCAATCAGAGCGCCGTACGTAAAACACTTGCACTAAGGCCTCAGATCGGAGACCGCAAATAGTTCACCGAAAATTTAGAGGATACCCGTCTCACACTATGTGTCTTAGTGTTATGTTAGTCCATATCTGCCTACTCCTAAGTAATATCGTAGTGGAACATGATTAGTAATATGCCTTCACAAATAAGACTGAATAAAGTGCAGATAGAAAGACAGATAAAAATGATGAGCTGAAATTGTCTTATTGCGTATTTTGTTTGTCCTTATTATTAAAACACGTATCAAGATGACAATGCTACGTAATTCGCACACTTTAATTTGTTGATTGCAATGTACACAATTCAAAATGTAATACGTATTATTATGTAAGTTGAAAGTTACAGTAGGTACTAACTACTAAAGTAATTTTGCAAGTGTTGCATTCTCCAAGAATGTTTTTTTATTACAGGTTGTAAAGAAACAGATTATTGCGTAACAGCATAACACCACGTTTGTCATTTCAAGACAAGCATTGTCACTGACTACTGACTAGGCCTCATTTGTTGTGGATTATATTCCTGACCTGACTGTACCTATACCATATTTATTATTAGAAACTCAAAGAAAAAATTGTCAGTCAAAGAGTCATCAATACAATCACTACAGAATAGTACATGAAAACTTCAAAATAGACATACCTGCATCCATATGTATAAAGTGCCAAATCCACATATAAAAATATTCAAAGCCGTCAGGCAATGATTATCCACCTATAAACAATCACACACTATATTAGTAATGGAAATAAAATAATCATTTATCACAAAGGCATTGGCTAGGATTAGGTCATACCAAATTACAAAAATGTACAATCCAAAAACGAGACAAATGTTAGGTAAATATAATTAACTTTGTTAAAAACTTTTTACACAATTAAAATCCAATGTTAGTAGCAATTAGATGAATAATAAAATTACTTAATTAACATAATAATATTATAATGGATTATAATGACCACCTCTTCCAACTGGAACAGAGCAAAATTTAAAAAACGACATTTTATAAGAACAGCCAATGATGAGGTAAAAAGAAACAATTTTAATAAAGGTGGCAGGTGTGTATATGCTATTTACACATTATGCCGCAGCGGTGGCGCGATGCACTCTTACATTCACAGTCATGGCGATACCGGTGTCTCACGCGACGTCGTATGTAAAGGTCCATACATATCCTACTGGGACTGCTGTGGCGTAATGTATAAACAGCTTAACAATGTTATTTAATAATGATCTTACCTTAAACAGGAAAAGGAAGAAATATACCAGGAAGCCCAGTGAGAGGAATGAGGCTGAAAAGGAAGCTATCCTATTTGCAAATGAAGTAACATTTGGATTGGGTGTTAATGAGCCGAGTATATGTATTTGCTGGTATCTGTCATACAATATTTTGCCAGCTGCAAACAGACAAATTGTTAGCACAAAATATTAGTAATGATATGTAAATATTACAGTAATTTCATGATGAATTAGGATCTTGGTTTGTTTTTTATTAAACATAACATAACATGTTCATTATTAGAGTTTGTTAATGTAATTGAATTATTACATAGAATTGTTTTCATTGTATCATGATGATACTAATTTATATGATGTATGAGACCTTTCATGATTTACAATACTTTAAAATAAAAATATTAAATTAATAAAAATGAACTCATAAATTATTGTTAGATAACATGCTTAATATGAACAATTTTTATAGTTTATAGTGGTTAGTTTCAACACTTGTTAATTAAATCATGATTTAAAAATTATGTTATATGAACAAAGTGATCCCAATTTTATTGTTTTATAGATTAATCCGATATTTCAAATATTTTGTATCGATGTAAATACTGCATTCTAATACACTTACTACTCACTGCACTTAGAATACAGTAAGTGCTACATTTATTGCAATATAGATTTTATATAACATAGATATAAATCCCTCTCACCAATTGCTCCGCTGGCTACGAACAAAAAAGCAAGGCCAGTATCCAAAGAATTTGTGTCTTGCGAAACTTGGAAACACAGACTGGAATGTAAAGAAAGGAAATTTAATACTATAAAAAATAAATAACTATCACATTCCGAATGAAAGTGAAAGTAACAAACCAACAAGTACTGTAAGATATCTAAAGAGAACAACACTATGAAACATTGTAACAATAAATTGAAGCAAGAAAGTGCTACCTAGGTAGCACAATTTATTGAGCAAATGAACATTGAGATTGGTTTTTTATGCGAATTACACATCAAAACATATAACACAAATAAACAACGTAATCAGAATTTACTATCATGGTACTTACGATACAATATAAGTAGATGTTAAAATTATCAGGCCACACTTAAATATCAACATATTATGCTAAAAAATAAATTAAAACCAGCGAGACAATAGTTACTCTTTCGTTTCTAAAATATACAAAGCCTAAAAGCAATATACGACTGGATCACCTGACATGACATCTGTGCCTATGACAGTGACAGTACCATGATTGACGTTGACACTATTGACAGCATTGACGAAAACTTTTTAATTTTATGATGTTCAACGTTCAAACTCTGAATCCAAACCTTTTGGCTATATGCAATATACATGTGACTTATAACTCACCTCGATATTCCTCTCGGGAGGTGATAATACAACAAATATCATTTAGATTCAATACTTTGACGCCTAAATTAAGGGTATAATTTTTGTTGTTTTATTTAACTTTCTTTTTATTTAATAGTTTAGTTGTAGTTAATTTTAGATTACCAAATTAGACCTGAGGTCTCTGCTCCGGAAGTGGCTAGTTTCTGAGATATTCAACATTTTCGGTTTTGGTGAAAAAATCAAGATCGAACTACAAAAACATCCTTATCCTTACTAATATTATAAATCTCAAAGTGAGTTTGTTTGTTTGTTCCGCTTTCACGCCGTAACTACTGAACCGATTGTTTTGAATTTTTGCAGACGTAAAGTTAGAATTCCAGATTAAATAATAGGGTACTTTTTATCCCGGAAAAATTTGATATTCCCGAAGGAAAATAAAAGTATTGATATAGACGGCGCTGTGTGTATTGGTATGTATGTCACAGTTTATCTGTCTTCTTTTTATCTTTTTGTGACGCGAGCGAAGCCGCGAGTAAAAGCTAGTCAATAAATAAAAAACGACTGGTTTGATTTAAGTGATTTTAGTTTTAGTTTTTTCTCACTAATACTTTTAGAAATATCATTCGTTTTAAAATAGCAAGTAAATTAAAATTCTAAATCAAAGTTTTGAGTCTAATTTGGTCAATAGAAAACCGCATTAATTTAGCTTTAAAAATTGATATTACATTAAGCGTACAACTTACAACTATTAGAAAAACTTTATTGGTTTATTAGCTACTCAAAAACACTAATTTATTAATAAAATTCATGATAAGTAAATTGTAAAAAATAACGCGCTATACCAAAATCATCATTATTTACATGTGTCAAAAGTGACTTTCCCTATGATGAATACATGCTGTAGCCACTTTCGGACTAGAAACCTCAGGGCTAATATAATTATGTAGGAAATTAGTTGTATTATCACCTCCCGAGAGAAATACGTCGAGTTACAAGTCACCCTGTATACATTCAGTCCTTGTTCTGGTGTAAATCTGTTCAACCAAGGTGTTCAACTTACGTACATAATACGTGATGTTTATCATCATCATAATAATATCAGCCACACGACGTCTACTGCTGAACATGGACCTCCCGATGAGAATACTGGTGAAATAGGTTTTTGTTTTTGCGACTCTGCCTATCCATTTAATTGTCCATTATTATAGGTATAAGCGGAGAACAGCAGAAATAAAAATGATTTTTTGAAGACCATCTTGTTTATTGAACTTTAGGAACTACTAATATCTGGAACATTCTTCTTTTGGGCATAAATCCTGTTAAAATTAAAATTACAAATTATAATAATTTAACATAACGTCACGCCTTTTAGGCCCAAAGGGGTAGGCAGAGGTGAACATTATGCCACTATACAATGTAACACCCACTTTGTACTTTTTATGTTATGAGTCTATGAATTATAATAATTTATACATATTTAAGCCCCTTACGCACTACTGGTCTCCCTGTGGTTGACCGCTTTTCCAATTTAATATGCAACCGCTATGGCAACCGCGTCAGTCGATGCGAACCGCTTGGGTGAACGGTCTACCGCTAGTGCATACGGGGGCTTAGGGGCTTTTTTAAGGGGGTATATCATCGAATAACTGCAATCAACTACAATCATATTAATTCGTGGGTTCACTCGCTGATCGGTTCTACAGATCACAGTGTAATGTATACCTACCTGTAGCCTTCCTTGATAAAATATGGATCAGCCAATACAAAAAGAATAATTACAATATTATGATTATGATAAGAATGATTCCAGAGATGAGCATGTTGAAACCAACAAAGAAACAAACTGCTGCTTTATAATAATTTAGTTTTTACGTCTAAAAATATCGCATATATTTTTTTTACTTTGTTACAAATACAAACCTCAATTAATTATAAAATTATAGCTACCATGGAACCACGGAACCAAGAACGAACGAAAGAAAGAAAGTCGTTGTTTCAAGAGACTGTACCCGCCTTTTTTTCGACGTCTTGATTAAATGGTTACTTGGCAACATCTATCAGAAATTAAGAAGTATGAAAACATTGCAAAACAAATGTCAAGAATGAAAAATTTGGCGGGAGTAGAACAATAATGTCAATGTTGTTGCTGTCAATCTGTGAATAAATAGAATAGGAACACAATATTTGTATTGCCTAATTTTTAAATTTGAAAAAGTTCATTATTGTGTTATAATTACAGTTCTCAAAACGAAACATGTCTTCATTACAACCTATCCACGCACTTAGTTTAGGTAAGTACGGAAGTACCTTTAGGTAGACATTGTGAATGGTCTCATGTTCAGTTTAATCTCTTTCCTGCAAAAACTATAGACTAATTTTATAATATTTATTAATCTATCATCGGTCTTATAAGATCACTTTCATTTATTGATTACCTTTCAAGTATTGTTTTAATAAACATTTATTAAAACAATACTTGAACAGGCAGGCAAAACAAAGGCACAAAAACAACATTGTTTTTGTGCCTTTGTTTTTGTTAGTTCTATAAAACTTTTTCTGTATTTAGATTACTCTGCTGTTGCTTTTTAGCAACTTATACAATGGACTAACTACATAATTAATTACATGATATCAAAGTAATATTTTAACACATCTAATAGTTAATTCCAAAACAATGCAAATGTAAGTAAACCAAGTTCAAACTGCATACTAATTAATGAGTTAGAAGAACATAAACTAATACATATTAAAGAGCACAAAGCGCTTGATGAAATAAAAGCCATGAAAGATTTTTGAAAAACACGACCTACTCTTGGTTATTTCAAAAAGCCGAACTAAGATTTCAAATAGTTTTTAACCTGTTCCTGTATACAGCTAAAAACTTGTTTATATAGGTAGTTAATACCTAATGGAACCTTGCTTTATCTTAAGTGTACTAGTAAATTGATTAAATAACAGGCAATTCTGATGTATGGTGGCTACTAACTAGATTATTTAGCCGAAAAAGGAAAGTATTGCATTTGTCTAGGAAAGAACCCATTTTATACAATACTAGCTAAACTTTCTACCACCTTAAAAGTTTTCTCACTGTTTAAACTTCCCAGCACTTCTACGAATATTTCAGGACCAAATTCAGCCAAATCGGTTCAGCCGTTCTCCAGTTTTAGCGGGACTAATGAATGGAAATTTAATAAAGTGCATTGAATAAATATACAAGACAAATTAAAAAAAATATTTATTTCATCGATTACCATTACATGAACAATTTTTATTAAAAAAATGATCTTCGATATTTGTAAGGATCAACCATCTTTATTATCTTTATAAAGTTCTAAAAGAAACAAACAAAGTCCTTTATGTAATAAATTTTATTACAAACTTATTCTCATAATACATCACAATATTTCTAACATTAATAATTTTATTTGAACAGATTCGGTCCAGCAGCAAGCTTTTGTCAAATATTTTCAGTCTCTACCCGAGGTAAGTTACTTTCATATTAAGTTGTCCTTAATAAAGTATAAACAGTGTTCAGCAAACCTTTTAAACTGTACTTATATCACAAAGGTCAGAATATTATCATTATGACTAGGTTATTTTAATAAATAAAAGTATTTTAATACAGAATATTTAACTAAAATCTCTCAAATCTCAAATCTTTGGTTTAATATTAAAACCATGAAGCTATTTTATTTTTGGCATTTGAGAATTTATTTCCAATAGATTTCCAAAAACCGGGCTTTTCGGTGGTTGTCTCTACTGGTGCAACAACTGTAGTACTTGAAGAAATTGAGTGTAAATCATAGTTATGTTTTTTCACTTCTACAACCTCTTCTAATTCTTTAGGAGGTGAAGGGTATGTTGGTGTTTGTTTATGTGTTGGTAATGTAATATCGTGTTCTTGTTTCTCATGGTAGTTGTTACTCCGTCCATTATGATTGATGGGCTCTACATCCAAGTTTTCTTGCTGTCCAAAATCATGTACATTTTGTTGCTGTAAGTCAGTTTGCTGCCAAATATTGTGCAAACTTTGTTGCTGTGAGTCAGTCTGTTGACCAAATTCTTGTATGTTTTGTTGATCCAAATTATCTTTGTCTTCAAGATCATGTACACTTTGTTGCTGTAAGTCAGCTTGCTGCCAAATATTATGCAAACTTTGTTGCTGTGAATCAACCTGCTGACCAAAATCTTGTATGTTTTGTTGATCCTTATTTTCTTTTTGTTCTAGATCATGTACACTTTGTTGTTGTAAGTCAGCTTGCTGCCAAATATTGTGCAAACTTTGTTGCTGTGAGTCAACTTGCTGACCAAAATCTTGTACGTTTTGTTGATCCAAATTTTCTTTTTGTTCAAGATCATGTGTTACATTTTCTTTCTGTAAGTCAGCTTGCTGCCAAATATTGTGTAATCTTTGTTTCTGTGAATCAGCATGCTGACCAAAATCGTGTACATTTTGTTGATCCAAATTTTCTTTGTGTTCAAGATCATGTATGTTTTGTTGCTGCGTATCTGCTTGATGACCAAATTCTTGTAAACTTTCTTGTTCCATATTTTGTTGATGACTAAAATCTTGCAAATTTTGTTGATCCATATTTTCGTGCTGACCAAAATCTTGCAAATTTTGTTGATCCATATTTTGTTGCTGTCCAAAATCTTCCAAATTCTGTTGTTCCATATTTACGTGCTGGCCAAACTCTTGCAAATTTTGTTGCTCCATATTTACGTGCTGGCCAAAATCTTGTAAGTTTTGTTGCTCCATATTTTCATGCTGGTCAAAATTTTCCAAATTGTGTTGCTGTCCAAAATCCTGCAAGTTTTGTTGGTCTAAGTTGTGTTGCTGGAAAAAATCTTGTGAACTCTGTTGTTCTATATTTTGATGTTGACTAAAATCTTCTAGATTTTTTTGCTCTAAATTTTCTCCCTGACCAATATGTTGTACGGGTTTTTGTTCTAGTTTATTCTGTCCATTGTTTTGGGATTCTGTTATTACTTTATTCTCATTACTTTTAAATTCATTTGAATGTACCCTTACTTGACCAGAGTTTTCTATGGTTCTTTGTTCTTTCAAATCACGAGACTGTTCTGTTAAATGCTTGTTTTCGCTAAAAACATTTATGTTGCTTTGTCCTGTCGTCTTATTGTTACTATTAACTTGGTCGTGAGATTTCTGTACAACTGATCCCAAAACACTCAAATCACTTTGAGGTGGTACTTCTACTTCTTTTATGTTTTTGTTTTGTGTTGTTTCCATGCTCACAGATGTATCAAAGGGATGTTTATCGGGTTTTGAGTCGATTAAATCTTCAGAGCTGATATCACCGCGGCCCATGTCATGAGAACTTTCGTGCCCGTTACGTGTGATATTTGATTTTTCTACGCTTATTTCTTTTTCCTTTTCCTGTGTGTGGTGAAATATTCCTTGAACAGTTTCATCAACTTTAGGATGACTGTCAGTCTGCATCGAATAGCCCTGATTGTTTTGCGTTTGGGAAAAGTTATTCTCTTCAGATTTATTTAATTTGTTTGTTAATAATGTAGGCTCTAAGTTACCTAATTTATCCCAAATGCTGGCTAGAGGTGCAGATGGTGAATTTGTATCAATAGTATGAGTGTTGATATTAGTGTTCATAGTCTGATCCCGAGAATTACTAGCGGTGTACATGTGCCATTGATTACTCTCATGATGTGTTTCATGAAAAGAGCTTTCTTTGTGGAAATTATAAAAGTTTGCATTGTTTTGTTGCGAATTACTTTGTTGTGTGTTTTGGTATCCACTTTGACTAACTGACTCTTGTCCACTGAATTTATGTTGTTCGTGATTTTGATCAAATATACTAGATTGTTCTTGGTCATCTTGTCTTATATTGCTCATATCCCAGATATCGTGTGTTTGTTGGTCTTGAGTATTATTTTTTAATTCTGTGCCTTGTCTGCGTTGTTCTTGATCATCTAAATTAAGAAGTTTTTATTAAAAAATTGTTCACATGATGATATTTATTTTATTTAAGTATTAAGGTATTATTGAGGATGTTTAAATGTATAATTATTACTACTTTAAATTAAAATAGTAGTTTAGTAAGGTTATTAGTTTTTAGTTCGATAGTGATAATAATGTAAATGTCGAAGTTTTCGTTATCAGAGTTTCGCGGCTATTATATTTTCTTTTTTATTCTATATAGGTACCTATATTAGAGATTTATGTACCCATAGTATTTATTCAAAGATAGCTTAAGATTAAAAAACTGGATTATGTTTTGTGACTTCCAGATATTCCTGGTGTGATGTCATGTTATACAACAACGTCTGCTTATCTAATTTTAAATGATAATGCTGGTTTGCTTCCCACAACAATATTAGTATTGATATTTTTTGCTAAGTACATAATATCACCTTCACCATAGACTAAATTGCGTATTATAATAGGATGTAGAAAATATCAAATTAATCTTCTCAGATAATATTGTTATGAAAGTTGTTTAAAAATGTAGGTAGGTACAATATGTGAACAAATCGCTATATATTGGATACATCGAATTAGTAAGAAAATATATTAGATATACAAGTATTAACTAAAAATTACTGACCGTGCACGTTGCTCATATGGAAAAGACCCTCTGTAATTCGAAACTAGTAGAGCTTTTCTCAGTATATTTACGTGAGTAACTCGTATTTTTTAGTTCAGGCTCACTATAGTTATTATGAAAACATATTATGTTACGCAATTTAGTATGTTACTTTTCAACTTATTAATAAGTAAAAGGTAGCTGCCACCAAATAAATATCAAGATAAAATTATTAATAGTATGGCAAAATAAATATCTGATGCGATTTTACAAAATGATAAGTGAAAAACTACAATAGTAGTAGTAATAGATCGCGACGATAGTTTGTGTTAAAATTTTGTAGGAAGAACACAGTAGGAATTCACTATTTGAAAGTAATGTAATTTATGATCAGTCAGTTTGTTAAATGTTTTAAAGGCCAGTATCGACAAATACTGGTGATATCGAGTTAGTAACGTGACATTTATTAATCACTTACTTTGGACTTTTTGATCAAGGTTTGAGGTTTGCTTATTTAAGTCTTGAGGTTTTTGACCGAAATCTTCGAATTTGGACCATGTTTGCTGCATATTATCCCATTGATTGTGTGATTGTTGGCTTAAATCTTCTACATTATCCCACAGATTTTGTGTCTGCTGTCCAGCTTCTTGACCCCAGGCAGTTTGTGATTGTTGGCCGAAATCTTCCACTTGCTGACCTGTCTGTTGGTCTAAATTTTCCACTTGCTGACCGAAATTTTCTACTTGCTGACCTAAATCTTCTAATTTCTGACTTTGTTGCTGTTGATCTTGAAACTGATCAATGTTATACGAACGGGCAACGCGTATGTGGCCATTCTCGTCACAGTCTTCGCCTCTTTGATGTGAATGCTGATAGTGAGATCCACTAACATATCCTTGATTCAGTGAGGAACTCAGCCTTTGTGAAGATTGGCCATCATAATATGCGCCAGATGCGGGCTTAATGACGTAAGGATCTCCTTGACGTTCCCATGATTTATGATAAGAGTAAGAGGATTGATAACTTTTAGGCTTCGTATCTAAAGTTTCAACTTGACTATTCAAATCAGCATTGGAACCTGCGTTATGTACGGCTTGAGTCAACGAATTGGAATCTACTGCAGCTCCGTATCTTCCAGCATTGAACTGGGTTTGGACATTATAACCATTTAATCTGGAGTCCGATGTAGAGTCGTGGTGGTTAGATCCAGCTGCAGTGAAACCATTGACATTATTGTAAATTGATTGCCCACTGCGTTGTGCGTCGTAATTCAAACGAGATTGTCCAGACTTGACAGCGTTATATCCACCATATACACTGCTTGAGTGTGCTCTTTGAGAATCTGCTCTGCGGGCGTCATATTGAGCATTACTTGTACGTGCCTGAGTGTCTTCATAAAGTTCACTATTTATAGGGAATGGGTTATCTGTAGAAGTAGATGTAGCAACGGTTGCAGGAATTGTATCGTGCTTTTCCCATTCCTTGTGGTAGTTGTAAGATGATTCGTAATGTTTACCGTTACTAGGTCTATATACAGCACGTTGGTCGGCATTGCTTAACACTTCAGCTTCACTGTTAAGAGAATTATGGTTTACTTGAGATCCTTGTGCAATATCGTATGTTTGAGCACCAATTGGTATAGCAACCCTCGTTCCTGGTCTTACGATAATTCTGACTGGTGTGGCACTTATTAACCTAGTATGAACATTTGATCCATAGCCGCCTGACTGGAGATTAGAGTTACTGCTATCGTAAGTAGAATGTTGTTGGTAACCAGACTGTGCGTTGTATCCGGAACTGTAGCCTGATTGTCTGCCGCCATACTCGTGCTGGCCTGCTCCGCGAGTGGTATCGAGTGTTTGAAGGTCATCAGATTGTAGATTTATACCTGTGTGTCCACCTGCTTGATAGCCACTGTGTCTTGAATTTTGTGATTGGCTACTTGAGTATCCCGCTGCATTGTACGCTGAGGATGATGCTAATGATGACTGTGAGTGTGAGTTTCCGTACGATGCACCTTCTTGAAAATTGCGCCCAGCAAGGTTACTAAGATCATAATGACCTGATCCGTAAGTGCCTCTAGAGTTGGCAGCAGTGTAAACACTTCCAGTCCTCGTTCTTGCACCGCTGCCTAGCTCTCCTTCGACTTGTCGCACCAGGCCACTCATTTGATTTTGAGCCAAAGCGTCCATATTATGGGCACGTTCGTAATTACCACCCATGTTACCTCGCTGAGCGCCATAAAATCCTGACTTGGATCCCTCATCCGTGGAACTTCGTGAAAATTGAAAGTCTTCCTTTTCTTTATATAATTCTGGTTTAGCCACCGCTACAGCCAAAGCGGCTACAAATATCATTAAGCGCTTCATGTTGACGTGTTGCGCCACCCTGAAATTAATGCAGATATATTATTAACAACAACATTGTTTTGAATTATTAATTTGCTCAGTTAAGTAATATTTCGCTTATTCTCTACAGCGCTAGACATATAAAACATATTGTTCCTTGCGTCGCTATGTATGGTTCTGGTTCTATCTAGTATGTGTAGTGATGGACCGTTGTTACCTGACAAGCGACGATCGTATTGCATAATGTAAACTATGCTATTATTAAAATTGTATCCGCCTGTCAAACATAGCCTCGGTCGCGATCAACTAGCGCCTTACTTTGTATATCGATAAAGGTTATTATTGTGATAAGCTTTGACACCAGAAAATATTTGATAGCTATTGTTTTATTTGACAACTATCAGATTAATAATAAAAACTTAATATCAAGTAGGTAAATTTTAATGAAAACAGTGCTATGTATAAAATTTGAGAAACTGATAGCGGGTTTTGGGATGGTAATTTTTCGGTACCGTAATAGGTTTCATATCTGTGCAACAATTAGTAATATGTACATCATCTATAAATCGAATTGTAACAGTCATGATGTAATGTCATTCGAAGTTTATTTTAAAAAATGACGAGGTTTTTATAAAGAAATTGCGGCTCAACGTATGTCACCATTCGCATCGTTTTATTTTTCAACGTAAGTATTTCAGTTGTTTAATAAGAATGCGACATAAGAAATAATATACAAATTATGTAGTAAACCCTCAGTTGAAATACAATAGCATCTTATGTATATTTCCTCGAAGGATAAATAAACCCTTTCGAAAATCACAGTAGGTACCTAAGTACCTATTCATAAAACACCATATTCGAGGCATTTACAACTACAAAATTATTTCTAACTACAATAATGCTTCATATATCACATAGGGGTATCAATAACTTTACCCCATAAAATAATTATTATATGTATATGGTGCATAAATTTAAATAACACTACTGCCACTAAGTTATCTGTTAAGTAGATATAATATTTTAAAACATAAATAACATGTAATAAAAATCGGATCTCATAGTATACATGTATGTTTAAAAATAATCTATAAAACTCAATTTAATTTTGCAAATAAAGAAAACTGCTGAATTTACAGGATCAAAATTTAAGTTTTTAATGCTTAATTTATGCGAGCACAAAGCAACTTACTACGAAACCTACATACAAGCTTTTGTAACTAAACTTTTCTCAATTAATTTTATTATTTACATAATAATTCTTGTAGAATCGTTTTCAACTTACCTCTTATTTTATTTAAATTCAGGACACAAACACAATAAATAAAATTTTCACACCGCGACTACTGCGTGTCGCACACTGACATTGGTTGATCGGGACGCGCCAATTTATTGAGCTTTAATATTCTATCTCCAGCCAGATAACCTCATGACCGGAGCATGAGCGATCTTTTATTCTCAGAAGCGGACTTGCAAATAAACTAAATCTTGGATCCAAAACCTTGAGTAGTTATTTATTTATATTGGTGATTGTCAATGTATAGTTTTGTATCCTTAATGATTCAGCGGTTCTATGATTTCATTCATAAGTTTGTTTTGTACTAAGACGACTGTTAAGAAGTGCGGACTATTTTGTTACCTCGTAGACTCGTAAACAGGTTTTCATGTGTATAGCTTAGTTTAGTTAGTATTATTCTCAAGTAATAAAATTTCGCAATACACTTCATACAATTTAATATCTTTGTAGCTACTTGGAATTTCGATAAATGAATATGGAAACACTCAATAATAATTACTTTAGAATCGCACAGAACAGAACCTTATGTTTAACAGTCCTGTTTCCGAGTCGTAGACGAACGAAGCTATTACCCCCGAGTACCTAATAAAGAAATTATATGGTCGACTTAACAAAACAAATGATTGCTGTTTCTGATTAGTTTGATGACCTTTTTCATGATTTGATGATATGTTATCTTTCTCTCCGAATTAACTAATATGAACATATTATCATGATTTCGTGGAACATGTATTCTTAAAATATAGATATAAGTTCTAAAAAAATACTGATGTTATTTATTATTTTATCCTTATTTTATATCAACTTCAAGTTAAATCATTGAATTTAGATTAAAACATTCCAAACAGACCATGAGAGTTAAATACTAGACTATGGTTTCCTTTACAAGAGAGGAGTTTGCCAAAATCTCCAAACTTGGCTGACAGGCTGGAGATCGTAGCTTAGTACTAGGTTCAGGTTTATATTGCATTGTTACCCAGTTGCTATGTGTTTATATTAACCTACATATTTACTAAATATGTAGGTTTAGTTCCTTACTCGACTACGATTAAAACGCAGGTTAAAGTACATAATTATTCAGAAGAAATATTCGGGTAATTTTTAAAATCTTAACTTGTGGCGCTTGTATTTCCCAAAAATACCAACCAAGGTATTTCCCAAGCACGAAGTAGGTACCTACACAAGACAAGGCTGCAATTATCGTTGTATAGGCATCTAACTTTACAAAATATCTGGCGGTCTATTACATGAGACTACTCACGTAATATTTAAATTGAAAAACATTGATTTCTGGCTGGGCCTTAAGAAATAATAATTTATTAACCTATGTATAATTTTATTATGTTTGCCAAAAATGTGGTAAAATAAGAGTCAAAGCAAAAATAATAAGTACTTAAGTTGTATTATAATTAAACAACACTTGGCAATTGCTTATTGACATTGCTCTTAATAAAAAATAGGATATCAACTAAAGATGGACGGCCGAGTTCTCAATAATTATACGTATCAACAACAATATTTTACGCTGTCTCGAGTTGTTTACATTTTTTCCTATATAAATTACTAATAATTATTTAATAAGTATCACATATTTATGTTTAAAGGTGTGTGTTATGTACATACATAAGATTACTAATATAATAACATAACATTACGCATATTACCTTCTGATGACGGGGAAACTTTCAAAAGGCGCCTAGCTTTTAATTCAGCGCCATTTTTACGCCTATTCTTAGAGCTGGCTGACCTAGGATTCGAACCTGAAATCTTGCTTGGTAGTCTTACAACCACTCGTTCTTGTTTACCAACCAGTCATTTAATCGTACAGTAGGTAACTCGTGGAACATAATATAATTTGCGTTTCCAGTTAAAAACATATTTTGTAGGAAGATACAAAATAATAACTATTATCATGTCCTCTATGAATAGCCATGAACCGTCTTTGTGACCGCATGACTTGCCACAAGACGTAATAATACGATAGTACCTACCTACATTATCCTGTACAACGTATATGTACGAGTCTTGCAAGCAATCAAAATCTATTCAAAACTTTTTGTAATAATTAACAACAGTTGAATAGTTCTAAAAGAATTCATAATTTTCTAGAAACCTGCTACGACGGTGAGGATTTTTGACCGCAATGATTACTACAGCGTCCATGGAAGTGACGCAACAACTGCTGCGAGGGAAGTTTTTTCCACCGTAGCGAATATTAAGAAGATGGGCATTGAACCCAATCGCCTTGACTATCTAGTACTGTCAAAAGGAAACTTTGAAATATTAATAAAAAAGCTACTACTGGTAAGTACACATCCTTGATTACTAAAAATAATTATAGATACTAGCTTGTTATGCAGCATAGCTGTGTTCTTCAGTGTCAAATGCTTGAGACTTGAGAGATATAGAAGAACATTGAACTGTGTGTCGCATATAACGATAGATACGTTGAAGATAAGGTCAATGTTGTATTGATATTTTAACACCTAGCTAAGGCTATTGTGTACTTTGTATTTCTGATTAGTTTGATGACTTCTTTGTAGTTACTATTTAACTATTTTATTGCCGAAATTAAACTTGAAATTATTGTTTTTTGAAGACATTTTTCAAACATGTGACAAGACCAGCACCGGTAGCGCCTATGGATAGGGAATAATGTTGTGGAGGATCAGAGGATCTCAAATCGTTTGTGGTTTTTTTGTTAAAAGTTTCTTATTAAAGTCAAGGTCTGCCGGGGTCGCAAACGTCTCTAGCAAAGTGAAGGTGTTGAAACAGGGCGATTTTCAGTCAGCAATGGTCTGACACTCCTGCCCTGTCCAGGGCAGGAACTTTGGCCATTTGATGATTCCATACTTACAAATAAAATAAGTAAATGAGTTGGCTTACTGTTCTAATAAATTATTAATATTCAGATAAATCTGAAAGACCTAAACACGAGTTTGTAGTCGTTAAAGGCTACGTAAAACGCGTATTGACATGTGACCTTAAACTTTATCAGGGCTATCTCACGTTTATCAGTCGTTCTCTTGTTGCAAGTAAACACGGATCATCTTAAGCACGTTTTAATTGTACTAATTGTTCAATGATTTTACACAAAGTTCATATTGATAATATCGGAAATACCTAAACTAATGAACCATCTGATCTATGTTTATTGCCCTAACTTTGTAAATACATGAAAGAACCTAGAAAAACATATTCTAAATTTTATTTTATTTTAAACTCTTTAACTGAAGGTATACGATTGAATATTGGAGGACTTACTGCTAACAGCATTTCCTTCCAGTCAATACTTTAAGTAGTGCAGAAATGTACAATAAATCTTGTTCATCACATTAAACTAAATATTTTAAAAAACTTTACCTGAACTGAATTCAAATCCCATAAGTAGGTCTTCCGACACTTACACAATACTTGTAATTAGATTACAAAATATACCGACACACCTACATAATATGTAATAATAATAATATAATAATAATAATAGCCTTTATTTCAGATCGACATAGCTTAACCTAATAACACTATTTTAGAGCAAATATAAAACTTAGAGTAAAAATATAAACTTATTCTAGTATTTGCTGCTTTTTTATTTTCTGCAGATCTGTTTGCCAATCGGCAAAGGCCTCCTCCAACCTTTTCCATTCAGTTCTTTCTAGAGCCACTCTGTTCCACATCACTCCTGCCACTTCTCTTATATCGTCGTCCCACCTTTTCTGCGGTCTGCCTCTTTTCCTCTTGCCTTCCCTTGGATACCACTTTGTCACTATCTTACTCCATTTATCATGACCTCTTATTGTATGCCCTGCCCATCTCCATTTGAGTCTTTTAATTTTCTGTACTACATCTATAGTTCTTGTCTTTTTCCTTATGACACTGTATTTCAGTCTGTCTGATCTTTTGACATTCAGCATGCTCCTCTCGATAGCATGTTGGCAAGTTGCTAGTCTGTTAGTCATTTCCCGGGTTAAAGTCCATGATTGGCAGCCATACATAAGGACGGGTAATATGCAGGTGTTAAATAGTTTACCTTTAATGTTATTATGAAGTTGTTTGTCTTTCATGGCCTCCTTTAAACTCCAGTATCTTCTCCAGCTGTTCGCAATTCTTCTATTCACTTCCTCGCGCATAGGTTCTTTGTGAGTTATGAGTTGTCCCAGATAGATGTATTCGTCAGTGTAGTTGACTTCGGTGTTTCCTATCTTTATCTCAGTTTTCTCTCCGTTTGTCATCATTCTAGTCTTTTCTGGATTAAGTTTTAGCCCTACTCGCTCACTTTCTGTCGCAAGTTCTTCTATCATTTTAGTGATCTCTTCGGGTGATTTGGCGAATAGCACTATGTCATCAGCGAATCTTAAGTGCGTCAGTGATGTGCCATCTACATTGATCCCAAAATTTTCCCAAGTGAGTTTTCTAAAGATTGATTCCAGCTGAGAATAGTTTTGGGGATAGCGGATCTCCTTGTCTAACGCCTTTTCCTACTTTGAACGGCTGGCCTTTCTTTTCTAACTGTATTCTGGCTGTACTATGACTGTATACGTTTCTTATGAGTCTTATGTATTTGTGTTCAATGCCTTGTTCCACTAATGCTTCCCATATATTTTTATGTAAAAGAGAGTCAAATGCTTTACTGTAGTCGATAAAGGAAATGTAATATTTCAGCTGGTATTCGCTGTATTTCTCGACGACTTGACGAACCACATGGATGTGGTCGATCACCGAGTAATCCTTACGAAATCCTGCCTGCTCGATGGGTTGGTGCTCGTCTAACGTTCTTTCAATGCGTTTTAGTATGATCTTGGCAAAAATTTTGTAGATGTTTGACATAAGACTGATGGGGCGATAGTTTCCTATTTCATGTTTATCACCCTTTTTAAACAATAGGATAATGTTAGATTCTGTCCATTGTTGAGGAATTATTTCAGTGTTTAGAATATTGTTAAACATATCTGTAAGAACAGGTGCTAACACTTCCTTTCCTAATATGTAGTGTGAAGTAAATGCGATTAAAACTTTATAGTTTTACACACAATAGTCACGTAGATTGATTTCAATAACATTTTTATTTCTCAGGTGAGGCGTTATAGAG